AAATCATGGCCTTGTTCTACCGGAGTGGATTCACTCGCCAGCCTTCTGCCTCTCCCTTCCAGTCCATTTACTTCCTGGTTGTCGTTCATGGTATGGTCCGTATTGACCTTCACTTCTAACAGTTCTTTTCGCTCTTCTGAGGTCTTCTGACTTCTCGTTTCAACCATTCTGCCTGAAACCGTCCCTTTTTTATCAGACCGGGATCGCTTGATCCAATCCACAAAAGGATCGGTCATCGTCTTTCTCTGCTCCTCAGGTATGAATTTCCTAGAGCTATTACCTCGTTTTGGTATCCTTGACTTGTCTAGACTCATTCTCTATTTGTCACTTTCTAATGCCTATTCTTGACTCAATTGCTAGAGACCTTATAGTTCTATTAACAATAATAATGACACAACACAATAAATTTCACCAGATTCTATTAAATAGTGACCACGAATCCCTGTATGTTATCAGAGTACAGTTTGTATAAAATTTATTCACTCTAACCGAATATCGGTGGTAAGATTTGAAAAATAGCACAATTTGATGTTATCAGTCAATTTAAAAGATAGTGTACTCACTACCCAATCAAGCACAGTTTATGTTGATTTAAAATAAAAAAAAAACAATATATATATATTTAATGTCAAACTATGAATACCTCTATGAAAAAAACGTATGTGTAATGTACTCTTAGTCGGTCGCAGTACAATAGTCGAACCTGTCTTTTAAAGAAAAAGCTTCCCTGCTCGGTGCTGCACCAAACAGACAAAACTTTGAAGGCAGTAATTTTCTCAAGTGGGCGTCTATTGCACCCACCGAGTACTGTGTTACCTATCTGCCTTCGGACTGCCCGAGCTAGACCTACTAAAATCCTCAGGGCAGTCACTTTTCCCAAAAACGTATTATGTTTCAATCCACACCAATGAATCACGCTCTTTTTAATTTAGACTTAGTGTCGCGAATATCCGAGTTCGGACCTGTTTTGTATTAGTCTGGTTCTTATTGAAAGGCAAGTTACCAGTGCAGTCACTGATACCTAGCCTGTGTGCTAATAACCTAATACCTCTCACTTTTTAGTCTTTCTTTCGTCTACCTAAGTCCTTAATAAAATAATACCCCTCCGGATTGGCACAAATAGGACCCTTCCGGATTGATAGAATCTAGACCCCTCCGGATTTGGACCCCTCTGAGTTGGTTAATACAAGACCCCTCCGGATTTGGACCCCTCCGAATTAGCAACTATAAGACCCCTCCGGATTCGGACCCCTCCTAACTTGAAAAATCTTTGACCCCTTCGGATTGGGAGCACTCCGGTTTGTAAAAGTGGCTTTTCGGAGATTTCCTTTTTTTTTTAACCTATACCCCTCCGGATACGTTCTCCGATGCAATTATGCTCTTTCAATTAACTGGGAAGGGTATGTACTACCTTCCTAGACCCTTCCGGATTGAAGTTAAGCTTCTTATTTGACAATTCACACCAACGGTGAAGGGTCTTATCGCTGGCCTAACTTCGGCTCGATTAAGCTTTTGCTGTGCCTTTAGCCCTCCCTTTTGGTCTAGAACGGCCTAAAGTTACTTTATTCAACCGCTATTACCTTTTGGTAGGGGTCTAAGGGTTTTTCAGAAAAATCTATGAAACGTGAAGGGTGTACACCTCCGGATTTGTGTAATTTGCTAAGAACAATCTCAAAAAATTTTCTCGCTCGCTTTTTCGAGTAATTCTCTTTCCTACTAGTAAGTTAAGCTAATTTCTGATCTAATGGTACCAAGATTAACCGGATCTGTCCAGTTGTCGAAAAGTTATTAGCCAAAACGTCTTTCTTGCAAACTCAAAAAATTTCTCACTTATAGGTTCCACCTAACTTTTTCCGCAATTCTGGTCCTTTCGTCCTAAAAATTATTGATCCGAGCTCAGAAGGCCTATACTCTTCTAGTTCAATGCAAAAGACCCGATCTAAAACGCTTTAGCAGAAAAAGTTTGCGAAAAACTATGCTACCTGGACCCCTCCGGATTGATGAATCCACCAAATCAAACACGCTTTGTTCGATTTCTCTGGAACGCGGAAGGCTTTCGGGTAGCGGGTTTTAAAACTCGTAGATTCACTAGTGGACGTTGTCCAAACAACTATTTTTACTGTCGTAACTCAAAAATTTCAAAAAATTTTCTAAATTTATAGTGTTCCGTTTTCTCAAAAATCACGAAATTTCAGTTTTCGGTACCAAAATAGTTCCAACCAGCTTCGAACTTAACTTAACCGGTTCTATCTATTATGGTAGTGCAGTTACGATGTAACACACTAACTTAGCGCTTTTTTCCGTTTCAAAAAATATTGATATCTCAAAAATCGCGACTTGTGGGGGGATCATAATATCGCAATTTTGACCCTAAAAACCGGTCTGTTTTCGCTGTTTTTCACTGAAACACGATATAAGACTATTAATATAGGCTATATAAATACTAATATTAGTAATACTATACCCCTCCGGGTTTCCTTAATATCCGAATTAAGGTGCTTAACTCGGATATTCGCAGTTCGGTGAAGGGTCACTACAGTGCAGCACTGTCGAGCCCCCCACAGATTACTATCTTAATTTTTGTACCAAAAGGGATACAAAACTTGTTAACGATACCCAACAGTCGATTGTTGTCGTCGTTGAGCCTCTTCTTGTTGCTCCTTGTACTGCTTGCCGGATCGGTCTTCACCCAAGACCCTTCCGAATTGAGCGCAAATCAGCTGACCCTTCCGGATTGAGCGCAATTTATCATTAACGTGCTTAAATGCTCAAATAACCCTACAGTACAAGCCTCACAAACGGCTACAAAACTGATCGTAACGATCCTGACTGATATAAATGCCTGTAACAACAATATATCTATCAACAACAAACGGGGGGGTTGGATCACATCTTGTCTGGGGGGATGATTTCTACTGATTTTCTACTTTTTTACTGTTTTTGGTTTTTTCGGCAATTTTTTATGTTTTTTTGTTTTTCTTGGCTACTATACTACTTTTTGTTTGGTTTTACTTATATCTTTAAGTGATTTTGGTCACGGATCACTCAGGAAATGACGGGACCGCGAATCACCCCACCCTTCCTGGTTCGTGAATTTTCGGTCTTAACTAGGTTAAAAAACTATTCACGGTAATCCGGAAGGCTTCCGCGTTCCGAACTACCCTTCCGCCCCGGCGGTTTAGGCCTATTAAGGGCGTTAATGTGAGCATCCGCTCGGCGCGGAGTGCTTGTTAACGGTTCTGCCGGTCATGATGTTAAAAAAGAATAACACCCAGGAGCGCCATAAAAACATTTATGTAACATTCGCCCGGAAGATACATATCGACGGATAACAAAACTAAGTCTTAAGACGACTGGCTAACGTCCAAACAGAGCTTTGCATGCTTTTCACCGTCTCTACCAAGCCAGTACTTTTCGGTGGTCTTTCTAACATCGGGTCGACAAAAACGTTACTGCTCTCCGGCTTCGACCAGAACGCTCAAATTAACTTAATTACATGCAACTAGTGAGCTCATGGCTGGGTCTCAGTATCCCCAGACCACGAGGTCACTCCTAAAAACAGGGCTACTACTTATTATATTACTATTGTTTTTGTTCAGTAGATAAAAATCATCATCTCCATCGAAGATGGATCAACCCTCTCCCCCCCAACTCCTAGCACCTCATCCTTGTCAAAACTAATCCAAATATCAATTAAATTCAAGTCAGGACATGACAGGATGCTAAAAGTTTACGTGGCAGGATAAAAGTTTCAGTTCCTTTACCCTTCCGGATTGACGAATCCGCTAAATCAAGCTCGTTAATCTTGATTTCCTCCTATTCCGGAAGGCTGTCTCTTACCCTTCACCGTTGTTCGCAACGGCCTTGCAACTATTGTAGCAGCACAATAGTTGCAACTCGGAGTGTTCTTCTGTTACTCTGTAACTCGTTGTTGTTTTCCGATCTCAATTTCGTTGTTGTTGCTAGCGCAGCTAATGTTGTTCTCTTTTTCTTTCTCGTTTTAGTCAAAATGGCCGTTTCTGACGTTTCTCAGAAATATGACGTCATAATTCGACTTTGTGAAATTTAAAAATACTAGAATATTCCAGCCCTCACCGTTTGGCCAATCGTTCCAATAACGTTCTTAGTTCTTAATAATCATCAATCCGGAAGGCCTACTGCTAAAAATTTGAAGTCTGCATAAATTGCATTTTGGCCATTCTGGTCGAATGCCACATAAAAGGACCACACAGTCGTTTTACAACCTATCTTTTTTTCCGTCAATATGTACTTCCGGACGAATGTTACATGTTCCTGCCCTCACAAATCAGAGATCATCTTCTGCTCTTATTCCTACTATTTGAGAGCTACAACACCTCTACAGGACCGATCAGAAGCCACCAGACGGTTCGACGCTCGCCGCATGTGCTGTTGGTATGCATATCTTTCGGGGTTTAACGAGAGCAGACCACCTAGCCACCAGTAGGATTAGTGCGGGGTCGGTTTGTAACCTGCTACGAGAGCCGCTGAAGCGGATGAGCGAAATAAATGATAAGTTCTAAGACTTAGTAGATGATGGATACCGCTAGCTTTCAACGCTAGCTTTTGAGATTCAGGGAGCGGCCAGACACCACACGGATTTTTTTTGAACTAGCTTTGTAAGAATATATTTTCACGTTTCGAGTTGCGTGTTTTTACTGTAGAAACGTAACCCGTATCCAGTTTAATTTTAAACACATCAACACTAATCATCTAATTTTTATCTCCCATTATCTTTTCCATATCTAGAAAATTCCAAGGGTTTTGACTGCAATATGTGATGAACGGACTCCTGACTGTAACCTCGGTTACTATGATACTTTTAACCTTCTGGCCAAGCATTTTATTTACTGCATACCGTAAAAATAATTTCATCCCGTTTACAGAGTTTCGAGTCGATCTTAGACAAGCTCATCTCTTACAATACAAGACTGCTTCCAGAATATTGCTAGACTGCTACGTGAAGCTCTTTATGTTTTTCCCAGTTTAATCGAATTCCTTTCAGAAAGTATAATGTAATATTACAGCATGTTTTCGCAGCTTGTTTCACGAATCATAATGTAAGCGAATGTTTTGTAATTCAATTTATTATGTTTTGTCTAACAATGTGTTCCGAAAATGGAGGAACTGTGTATTCAGGTGTGTTATAGTTTTTCCACGAAAAATCAGGTACCACAAATAATCATCGGAATGGTTCGAGTGATATATCATATTAAAGACCTTTCAGTAGTGATTCATAAAGTTTTCCCAATGTCGAGAAAAAATTAGGAGATTATTAAAATTTGTCTAATTCTGAGCAAGTTACGCTCGTTTCAGGGAAATTTACTGTTTTTAGAGGTTTGGCATAAAAAACTTTGATTTTACCATAGAGAAAAGTAATAGTAATTTTCGACCGTTCATTTAGCGCTTTTTTGGCAAAATAGTTCTCTAAAAAACTTTAAAAAATATTTTGCAAAAAGTTTAATTTATTAATTTGTTGAAGACAAATGTCGATCATGCCTAATTCACTAATTATCTACGTGATCGTGTAGTTCTCGAATAACACCACTGACTTAAAACGACAGTTGCTGTTTTTTTAATCATTTTGGTCGGAACATTCTGTGCTACTCGCACTACAATTGGCTATCCTTGTATATGTTTTAGTTTGGTGCTTGGTAATCTGTACCCCGCATATGCCTCATTCAAAGCGGTCAAATCAAAGAACGCCAGGGAATATGTGAGTAAACGAATGTAGTTTTTGAGATACAATTTGATTTTTATCACTACAAAGTCTGCAGAAAAATTTGATCAGGCATTGCGTCATCTGGTAAATTAAAACAGTTCTGTACAGTTATAGTTTAAGCTGATAATTTATTTTTTGTTCAGCTGAATAAAAATTTTCCATATTCAGGCAAGATGGATGATGTACTGGATTGTGTTCGCCATTTTTGCAGTTCTAGAAAATTTCACAGACATATTTTTGTCTTGGTACGTTTGGTTTCCGAAAACTATTAGTTTTTTTTAAACGATTATTTTTTTCCGCCCAACGCTTTCTTTTAGGTTTCCGTTCTACTACGAGTTGAAGATTTTATTTGTAGTTTGGCTTCTTTTGCCAACCTTCAAAGGATCCAGTTTCATCTACCGAAAGTTGCTCCATCCGTATCTCGTGAAAAATGAACAGGTAACACTGTTGTAAATTTATTTGCTGTCACTTAAGAAACATAATTTTAGCTGTTTTAGGAAATTGATCAATACATTGAGCGATCGAAAGAGTTGGGCTCGCAAGCACTCGTAACTCTGGGGAAACAAGGCATTGATGTTGCTCAGCGCACGATTGCACAAAAAGGCGTAAGTGCTTTCTTAAATTCCATTCAATAAAAACTGCCGGCAGTTGCAAGATGTTTACAATATTTTCAGCCTGTGTGGCGAAGTGTATCAGCGCAATATTTGGATCAAATCATGTCAAACAGAGATATCGACTACAACGCAGAGGATCAGACAGACTCTAGTGAGGTTATCTCACAGAGAGTCGCAAGTAGGGTGCCGTCGAAGCAGCGTGCTATACCCTCCTCCACTGCTAGAGATCAGCAGCCTCAAATTAGACACAGAACTAACTCCCAGGGTATGTAGCATTGTTCAACGAACTGATGTTTATTCGTTAACGGCTCAAAAAAGCTTAAAGATAACGTTGATAACAATTTGTACTTTGTACATGCGAAGTTAATTTTCAGACATCTTAATTTAGTATGCATTTTCCTTTAAAACATTCTCAAAATTTGCTTCAGGTGCTAGGTAAATAAGGCGACATGACATTTAGACGCCCATTTAGAACATTTAAAATGAATGGTTTCAAGCGGTGTATGGTTCGCAGGAATAAAAATGGAGAATGGCGTGTAGTGTCGTCTTAAAGTCCCATCAAAAATGATTGTCACTTTAAAAGCTGCCCGCTTATTTGCCGGACACCATTTGATTCACTGCATTAATAGACTGCTTGAGTGTGGTTATTCTACTCCATTTTTGTAAAATAGCCAAAGCAACAAGCTACTTTGAAGCGAAATTTCTGTTACAATTATATTAGTGTAGCGTCACTTTTTATTTAACTACTAGTTTTGTTACAAAAAATTCTTAATGTTTTAAAACTGGTGTATAATCGATCCTTTCAGCTGGCAATACTCTAAAGGATTCAACCAGTCCAGAGTTTTCTCGCGGCTTGGAACCGCTCGATGAAAACTATATTTGCTCTTCTGAATTTGACAAATATCAAGCATCGAGAGAAATTACTCAAGAAGTTGGTTATGTAGACTTTCCTCCATCAAACGATATTTCAGTCGAATCACAACCTGGAGTTACAGATACATACCTAAACACACTGACAGATTCGGTTTATAATACTTGGGCTTATTACTTCCCAGCGAAAACTACCAAAACTGAATGAACAGGAGAGCAAACAAGCAGCTGCCGCGACTAGAAAACTGTTAATTAGCGAGTGACTGTTATTAGTGAAACTGTAGCTTAGGTAAATAATTGATGATGGAACTGGCCTCTGAACATATAGTCAATTTACATCAACTTGTTTACTGTGTTCACAGCCAAATGTTTTTCATGACTCCAAACTGTTACCTCCGCGAGATACTCTAGCAAAGCACATAGAAGTCGTTGCGTTTTTGAATTTAGTGTTAAGAAGTTGAATTATTGCACATTGACGAGTGTTCGAGGGTGTTTTTGGAACTGTTTTGATGTAATTGGAATTATACAATCATATCTAAACATAGAAATGTGAGCTCGTAAATTTAGATGCGTATTGTTCTTTTGAGAGGGCGTGAAATAGAAAAAAAACATTGTGCACGAAATTTGACAACATAATGCGAGATCATGGTGTAAATTCTCATTTCAGCTTCAAACCCACTGCCTACTATCCCAGATGAGGATAAGATATCCTCTTCTGTCCCCACGTACTCTAAGTCGAGGTTTGTCCCCCCACCTAGCTCCTCCCAACCTCCCTCTCGACTCACTTTTTCAACTATGAGTCAACTAGAACATGATGATAACATTAACTCGTCTGGCGCATCTTCGTACACTTTTCTCTCTTCCAATGAAAAACCTGACACCAGTAGTCCTACCAAGCGTCACCAATCATTCTCGAGCTCATATTCGAGAAGGTCAAGAGGTGACCCCGGAGGGACCTCTAAATTCGACCAAGCCTCTGGGTCGATGACCGATCAGGTAGATCAAATGTCGCCAGGCGGCTCAAGGCAAGCAGGGACTTTCTTTGCCCGGAATTTTGAACGAATGCGCGGAAAATTTGAAAGTATCTTTCCAAAAATCACTAGGTTTTTGTCTAATGTCATGATACGTTTCGAACGTCAAAATAACGTGCTCGCGAGAATAATATGCTAACTTAAATTAACTGCTTGATGCTTAACTCACTTTGTTAACTCAAACCAACTGATTTTGTGTTACTTTAGAGAGCTAGTCAGGTAAAATTTCTGTTATATAACAAATACTGAAGAGGTTTAAGTTATTCTTGAAGTTCTGGTTATGGAGCACGACAGCTTTTTTCAGTCGGGACTTAGGAAAATAAAAATGGCTAGTTTCGGTTGCCATTTGTTGAAAGGAGATATACAAGCTACGCTATAGTCCTCACTTTTTTTTAGCCCACTCATGTTCCCTAATTTGGGTATTTACCCCTCACGAAGCAGAGTTACTGCCTTGCAATTATGTACAGCTGATTTTAATACAATGGTGAGAGCAACTGCGTATAATCGATAACTAGATTTTTTTTGATCCGGCCACTTAAAGTTGGGAGCAAATTTGTCACCGGGTGTGCTTCAGTTTTTTTCTCGTTTTACTTTCCACGCAAAATCAGGTTTTTTAATATGTCGAAATATTCTGTGCTACTTGCATAGCATTCGTTTATTCTTGTTCTTTTCAGAAATTTTGTTTACGAACAAGAGTTAAGAAATGCAATTAATGCAACTGAGATTACCGTTGTGCACAGTGCTACTCTAGATGGTATAGCCCTATGTAAAGCACTTGAATGTAGTAACAGCTTTTTTCGCAGTCTGAAAATTTGGGCGACTATCTTAGCTAATAAGGTTTCGGGGTGATATGTTACAATAGGTGGTAATTTTGAGAACTTAAATTTGAGAACTATAATGCAAAATATAGTCATTTCTTTTTCAATGAATTATAAATGCTGCTAATATAGTTTTTGTGAATACATTACTCTGCCAGATACAATAATATTCAAAAACTCAAATTTTACATTTATTCGCCAAAAAATTGGGTTTTGAAATAAAGATATACACTGTGCGAACTATAACAAAAAGCGATCCAGCTATTTAACTTGAACATGCCACCTTATCCACTATATCACCGGTTGCGGTTTGAGTTTTTTCGGCTCAATTGCCGCAAGCTGTTTAATGTTCTCTAGGCGCGCTATTATTAATGTTGCCTTAATAGGATAATGTTATATCAGTTAAATCATGAGAATTAAGGCAAAAATTTGGGCTTTGTTTTTTGCTCAAATGTTAGTATAATTGATCTTTTGATCTGAGGAAGTTCCTCAGTTTTTGGTTCCTTGTTTTGAGTTCTTTTTTTTCAAGGCAACGTTCTAGTTAAAATACGGAGGCAAAATTGTTTGTTTTTGCTAGTTAAAATACGGGGCCAAAAGTGCAATTTAAAAAGCGTTATTCTTAAATGGTTTGATTTAAGACAAAACTTGTTTAGAATTTCAGCAGAATTAATTTGGTGCAATTTATCTTGCGAAATTCGGGTCAAAAGTGTAACCCAAAAAACCAACATTTTCGTCTTTTTTTAGTCAGTCAAAAATTACACCAAACATTTTAGTTTAATTGCCGACAAGATTATATCAAAGTGAGCCTCTTTTATCGCTCAAAAAGTTATCATTTCCAATAATTGCCGAAACAAGTCCAAAATTTGTTTTCAAAAGGAAAGTTGGTCTTTTATATAGTAAAATTGACATTTTTTGGCTATCAAAAATACAGTTAAAGAAACAAAACAGACGATTATATTCTGTTTAAATTGTTTTGAGTTTTATGAGATTCTCTCTTGGATTTATTTTTGGTCAATGCCGAAAATGCTCGATTTTTGGGGTTAAATGTCGGACCCTAATTTCGCAAAATAAATTGCGCCACATCAAATTTTCTGAAATTCGAAGCAAGTTTTGTCTTCATTGTTTTTGTCTTAAATCAACCAAATTTGAGAAAATCGCGTTTTTTATTTCATGTTTAATTCGTTTTGTCCAGACATTTTAAATCAGCTTTGTAGCATGTGTGGAAGTATGAGTATGTCTGGAAGTGTGACGGTCCATTACGTATGCGTATAATTTTTCAAGTAAATCCTTTCGTGTCTGCGCGACAATTAGTGCTCGGTTCAAACCAATTTAGGTTGGGTGGATGGCTGATCTTTACTTCTATGATCAGCAATGAGGAGTTTTTTCCGAAATTTTGACTCACTATGAATAATTATCAAAAATTATAGGCTACACTAAGCTTATAAATAATAAGTATTCTGTTTGTGGCAACTGATTTGTCTTTAAATTGGCAGTTCCTGTGTTCGATCTCACAAAGCTGAGTTTCACTACTCTATTTTTTCCTAGCTTATGTTTGTAAATTTTTGGATTTTGCTTAGATTTTAGCTAAAGCTCTGTTTATAGTATATTATTTGTGTTTTTCTTTGTTTTTCACGTACCGTTACAAACGTCATTGTCTTATCTATTCGTGAGCCAGATTTAATGAGTAAAGTTGTTGTTGTTTTCAAATTTTAGACGTTTTTCGCCAATTTTTTTGAGATGATAAGCTTCTTATTTTTGTTGAGCTAAAAAAAGAGGCTCACTTTGATTTTTTAACCAATTGTTTTGGGGTAATTTTGGTAGACTATAAAAAGCCGAAAGTGCTCGTTTTTTTAGTTAAATTTTGCACCAAATTAATTCTGCTTAAAGTTTCGGCAAGTTTTGTCTTCATTGTTTTTTTCATCTTAAGTAAAACAGGTAAAACAAAGATTTTAACGGTACGTGAAATATTAAGAAAAAACACAAATAACACACCTTGACCCTTCCAGACAAACTTATACTTCCACACATGCTACAGTGCTGATTTAAAATATCCTGACACAACGAAAAAAAAAGACTTGAAATTTAAAACGCGCTTTTCTAAAGTTGGGTTAACTTTAGAAAAGAGCGTTTTGAATTTCAAGTTTTTTTTTCGTTGTGTCAGGATATTTTAAATCAGCACTGTAGCATGTGTGGAAGTATAAGTTTGTCTGGAAGGGTCAAGGTGTGTTATTTGTATTTTTTCTTAATATTTCACGTACCGTTAAAAATTTTGTTTTACCTGTTTGAATTAGCGAGTAAATGTATTTTAAACCAGGAAAAACGTAAATGCTTTTTCAAGTAGTGAGTACTCTTAATAGGTCGTGCTGTTTTTCTTTTAGGAAAAAGTCTTAAAATTTGTTCACGCTCAATTATGATTTTTCTTGGTTTGACTTGTGGTTCAGTGCATTTCCATTGTTAAAAGGATGGCAAACTCCAATATCGAACAGTAGAAGTGTAAAGGTCACGAAAAACGTGATCGACTTCAATTTCGAAAATGGAAATGAATTATCAGGTTTTCCAGCAAAATAAAAGTTTCACCTGTTGATACAGTTTTCTCAAATTGGGTTTATTTTAACAAAAAAGTATCCATCATAAATTGTTCTACAAATTTAAAGAGCTTTAAGGCCATCTATTTTTTTTCTTCGAAATTCAAAAGTTGAATATTTTTGAAAAACCAGTTGTTTTTTTTTCAGTTTTCTTGCGTTCATCACTCTTTTCCAACTGTTTTTACAATTCGAGTTAAATAAATGTCGGATTGGTTGTCGACTTGTTCTGCAATTTTTTTTATGGAGCATAAAGGTTGGTATGAGTCGATGAACATAGTGGAGATTCCTATATAGATCTCGATAATTGTTTTTTAGGAAGTTTTGCTCAGACTCAATTTTTTTTCTCGCGGCTTGTCTTTAATTTTTAAAAATTTCAGTTCCTTCGTTAAAAGAAAGGCAATTTACACTATCGAACAGCAACAGTGTGAAATTCACCAAAAACATGATCAACTTCTAGTTTCGAAAGTAGATTTCAATTTTCAGACTGTGTTAGAAATTTAGAGACTTTTAAGGGTATCTGTAGTATAAAATGTTATATCAGTTAATTCGTGAGCATTTTACGTAAAAATTTGTGCACTTTTTGCTGATAGTTTGAAAGTTTTTCGTTTGAAGTTCCTTCAGTTTTTGGCTTCTTGTTTTGATTTTTCTTTTTTTCCAACGCAAGGCTCTAGTTAAAATACATGGGGAATATCTCGTTTTTGATATATTTTTAGTGCTGAATTTTGTCTGTTACTTTTTACACGACATCCGATTAAATAAAGTGCATTCATTGCGGCTTGGTATACAGTGTTGATATGAATTATCCTGACAAAACGAACAAAACTTGAATTTAAAACGCGTTTTTCTCAAGTTGGGTTGACCGTAAACTAAAAAAGATGAAGACAAAACTTGCTGAAAATATCCGCGGAAATAATCTGGTGCAATTTGTTTAGCGAATTTCGGGCCTCGCCTTGGTGGCGTCCTTGGTATATTTCAAAGAATTGGAAAATTAATTGCAACTGTAGAATTGGTAGAAATTGAGTTAGTTTTCAAGCGACTGTCGCGCAGATACGAAGACGTGGGGCATAATAAAAATAATTTCTGATGACTTTTTTCATCTCATTTTTTTGCCCTATAAGAGCTACTTTTTGCTGTTTTCTCGATTCTTTACGAAGTAAAGCTTCGCATCTGCAGTAAAATTTCTGGTCTTTTTCACAATTTAGTGCTGTTCTAATTTGTAGGGGCTTGAGTAATTAACTCGCGCTAAATTCTGCGCCGTTAGAAAGTAAACCACCGAATTTTTTGAGTCAATGAACGTAGTGAAGACTAATACAGCTCGTGATGTTTTTTTTGTTTATGATTCCGGATTTTTTTCAAATAATTTCCTTCATTTCCCATTCTTTTTTTCTTTGCTTGCGTTCATTGACTCTTTTTCAACTGTCTGAAGGCTATGTTTTCATATTTAATTCTGAAAACGTTATAGTTTTCCGAAGTGCTTAACTGGACTTTTACCGCTTTATTGTTTCTGCCGAATTGCTGTCGTGTTAACTTCCATTGAGTTCTAAAATTTTTTATTTCATACTCTTTGATTCAACCGGCAAGTTTCCGAAGTTTTTTTGCGAGCATTGGTCACTGTTTTTTAAATTTTTTTGTCCATTTTGTGAAAGAGGGATGGTTAAACTAATTTCTCCATTTTGCAGAAGAGGGATATTGAAGAAGAACCAAATTTGTTTCAGTTTTTTTTGTTGCACGAGATCAAGCAATTTTCCTGTTTGAATAGCTTGCTTCTTTATAACTGCTAAACGCTTGGTCGAAAAAAGTAAAACATAATAGCTAGCTAATTATAAAACCTGTCTTAATATCGAAATTGCGTTGGAGTTTGCAGTTCAATTTTTAAGAGTCGATGAATGTATTAATGACTCTTTATACAGATCGCTATATTTTTTCAGGAAAATTCTTAAAAGTTGATCACGCTCAAAAGTTGGTTTTGACGGTTTAATTAATGTAAGTTCAATTACTTTGTTAAAAGGATTGAAAACTCTTTTTCGAAGAGCAAAGCGATAAAGTCACGAAATAAGTGATTGACATCTAATTTCGAAAGTAGATTTTAAATTTCAGATTTTTAGAATTCACAGAAAAATAGAAACTTTACCTATTGATCCAGTGTTCCTAAACTGAGTTAGTATTATCAAAAAAGTGTCGTTTATTAGTTTTTTGATTTTCAAAGAGCTTGTAGGCAATATATTTTCAACTTCGAATTAGGAAATTGAAATTGAACAGCACTTTTTTTGTTTCCTTGCGTTCATTGACTGTTTTCCAGATGTCTGTTGTCTATGTTTTTTAATAATCTTTTTTTGGAAAACAGTAGCAAAACAGAATCAACTGTTTTAAAAGAAATTTTTGTAAACCAGACAATTGCGGCTTGCTTGAGTTTATGTTTTCTCAGCATATTTTTTGCCAACGGAATTTGCAGCAACAGTTTTCTAGAGAGCTCGCTACCGCTTCGCAACTGCTGCTATTTTTGAGAAGCACTGACTCGTCCAATTTCTCAGACGTTGATAGTGGACAAGTATAACCCTAAGGCAGTTTATAGTTTCTGTATTTGTATCGACCATTTCAAAAATGTGGAGGAATTTTGCACTTGGGTGTTTTAGTTTTTTTTTGTTTTCCACACAAAATCAGGTACCACAAATAATCATCGGAATAAATTGAGTGACAGATCTTATTAAAGACTTCAGTCGTGATTCGAACGACATTTAAAATTTTTCAAACAATTGTTCCAATATTTAGAAATACAGGATTAAATTTTTTGGTATTGACTGAATTCGAGCGAAAAGAAGAGAGCAAGCAACCTTACAATAGCTTATTTATGCTTAATTTAGGCCGTGAAAATTTATTTTGGCTCAATTAAAGTTGGCTTTTTGAGTTTTTTAGCACTTTTTGGAAGCTCAAAATTTTTAAATGGTCATTTTCTACAAAAGCTGTTGCCCAATTCGCCTATTTTACTATGACTGTCGAATATTCCTAGTTTTTCGTTCAGACACCGCGCAGAAAAAACGACACTTATTTGAATTTTTTTTGTATTTTTAAGACTGGTCGGTGGGGACGGCTATCCTTGTTTTTTTTGAAATTTTCGAATCGAAATCCTTAATCGTCCAAAGCTGCAGTTCTGAATTTGATTTATGAACTTGGAGAATGGATCAGTGCAGTTAATTTCCTTTAAAATTGCAAAAGTAAAGTAAGATACAAACAGTTCTCTAATATGAGTGACGAAATCCGTCATTTTTAGGTTCATCAGTGTCCAAAAAAAGTGTGCAAGTTTAGTCCCCCTTGCCCTATGGTACCTATTGACGAATTGCCACCCCTAGAAGGAACTTATTCAACGTTTAAATCTATGTGAATTTTGCACCTAGTAACAAATCTAAACCCCCCCCCCCCCCCTCTCTGCTAAAGGTGGGAAAATATTTGAAGATACGATTTTTGGTGCCAACCGACTGGGATGTTTTTTGTACTGATTCAAAACAGGTTTATGAATTGAAACTACTAGTTGATATCTGAGCTGATAGTTTTCTCCACATTTTGAAAAATTCGGTTAAAATTTGACCGGTCATTCTTTTGTGTATGTCGCTTGTTACCAGAAGTTAAGCTTCAGTTAGCAATGGCTTCGGATTGCCTTAAATAATAGAAATTAGTTCTTGGCTGATGTTAAAATGTTGAATACGGAATGCTGAAAAGTCATGAAATGTTTCTTTTTTTTGCACATTGTTTTGATAATACATGCCTGATAACCCTCATGAAAGCAAACACTTGCTTGAATCGCTTTAACATGATTGCATCTTTTGTCAGCGACAACAACCATCATATTATCTTCTACAAGTCGTCGCTTACTCGCTTCCTGTTTCCGGTCCCAGGACACATAACTCAACCTCAGTCAGCAGCAACAGGGGGCAACTATCTTCATCCCCACAGCACAGATGAAAACATCCGGAATCACAGTTACGTCACCCAAACCCAATCCCTACAGCCCGACGATTTTATACATATTGAGAGAAGTCCAAATAACAAAAACAATAACAACAACACTAAAATGTCAAATAAATTAGCTTCAACTGACGTGGGATTCAATAACGAAAATGAAGTGTTTGAACCACAGCAATTTAGTAATAACTACGTCTCGAGGCAACAAATGAACGGGGAGTATTTTGATAATGCCTACTTGACACATGACGACAGCATTGCGGTAGACCAAGTCCAGAAACCTATATCCTCTTCGGCCACAAGAAGTAATGCTACCAGAAGTCGCCCAGGCGCTGAGGTTAGTTTGTCAATCAATCAATACGTAGTGGGAAACTACATTTCATTAAGACATCGAATATGAGGTTTGAATTAAGTTGCAGGTAATTTTTAGGAAACGCGGTGTTTTTGATAAATTTCGCAGAAATGTTCGTTGTCAAAAAGGCGTAACTAGTTCAAAAAAATGACGTCGAAAAGCGAGTTTGTAAATTTTTTCCATGTTGATGTCTTTTCTTTTTCAGTCATATATTAAAAAGAGAACCCAGCCAATAGTTGCCAGAACCATCTCCAACGCACGTCCAGGCAGGAATCTGTGAAAATTTATTTGGAAGGGCATACATTAATCCACCTCAGCTGAACCTGAATGAATAACAAACAAAAACTGCTCACTCAACTACAATTCAATATAGACTGCTTTAGACTTCCTTTCTGGTGCTTTTCAGCTTCAAGACCTTAAAAGCCATATCAAAGGGAGTCTCTCTAAAGTATGGTCCCCGCATAATATTGTGAAAGAATAATAAATTACGCCAACATTTGATGCAAAAAAATGGCGTGGCGCGCTCTAAGCGCTTTAATCATATTTCTGTACAGGGGCGGATCTAGGATTTTCTCGAGGGGGGGGGGGGACACTTTTTGGAAAATTTTAACAAAAAAATCTCGTTTTTTGGCGCGCGCTCCCCCTCAGATTTAGTATATATTGGCGCCAAAGGCGAGCGCCTTTAGAAAAATTTTAGGGTCGGTCGGCCAAAAATGGATTTCTTAGAAAGTACCAAAGGGGGACCCTTTGGGACGGCAGGGGGTCGAATCCCTGAGCGAAGGGTGTCCGCCCCCCCCCCCCCTAAATCCGACCCTGTTTCAGTATATTGGAACCTGATCTAAACTACATTTTATGATTGGATAATTTAGATATTTTACCAATGTAAAGTATTTAATATTAACCAATCATGATCCATCTAACTAACAACCCACTTATTTGTAAGTGCTGAAGTTACTTGTAATTTCAGCACCAGAGAGATTTGAATTTAACTTAGAAATTAGTTGGACTCTCCCGAGCACTTCAGCAGCCGCAATAAACCAGTATACCCTAGATCTATTGAGCCTAGCAGAGACTAGTTAAACAACCTGAGACTAGATAGTATAAGAGTAAAGATTAGGATCGGTATTAGACTAAGAAGTTGCACGAATCTATCCGGCCGAAAATAAGATAGCGTGACGAGCAGACGGTGTACCCTATCCGAAATTACTCTATGAGTTAACCAACTCGGTCCTAACTCATCTGGTGCGACCATAAGTCTCGAACAAGACCTTAATAGCTTAGAATTAACCAAAATAGATTAGAAATTAGACAAAAACATTTACAAAATGTTATACGACAATAATTTAATCGAAATGTCTCTACGACTCAATAGATCAGAGCCAATATTCCGAACCATAACAGAACTACCCGGAATTGGAAGAAGACCTCGAACCAGAGACGACATACGACAAAGTAGAAACTTGCCATATAGCTATATGATAGTTAGGCAAAAACCAGAACAAACTTTTATATTTAGAATACTACTGGCAATGAATTTAAATTTTCATTTGCAAACATAAAACCTTGAAGTTAATCTTCAAAATCATTTCAGGCGCTAAACAAAATTATTAATATACAATAACGATTGATAAAAAGATCTAAGATCGTTTTCCTAAAACTCTGCAGTAATATACAAAACATGTTTGAAAAATATTTATTGAAAAATAAAAAATAAAAATTAGTAGCATGACAATAAATGGTTAGTAATCATAAATCATCCTGTTGTTCCAGCTCCATCACCTAAAACATAACAGCAATCATAAACCCACTAATATCATCAAAACACTAAATCTTTCCTTTACACACATTTAAAATTTTATTAAAACTTAAATTCACTTAATTTTAAAACCAGATCATCAAGGCTTATCCTTGGATCTTAAATCATTTTCTACTTAATTAAATTTCAAATTTGATCATCAAGGCTTATCCTTGGATCAAACAGAACAACTTTGTTCTCCCCCACCCACTTAATTAGTGTCTAACGACCTCAAACGTCGATTCACTACCCAACCCTTTCTAAAGACCTAAGACTAATAGAAATTTTTAAACAAAACTAATCATTCAAATTAGGATAAACAGTGAAGAACTTCGGTTATTCATCCTTCACTTGACCCCCCCTCTTAACAGACCCAGGATAAATCTTAGACTTAGTAAGTTTAAAATAGTATCTAACGAACTACTCGCGTTCTAATTATACCTGAACCTTGTGGATCGATTTACTATTCTCCAACCCTTGAACACAATCACTACCCCTAAGTAAGATTAAGTAAGTTAACACCTTAACTTATACTAGCCACGAGAAAGTAAAAAATCATTCTTCGGAATCGATATACTTTTCTCTCCAACCCTGAACAAATAGACCCAGGTTAAGCTAACCAAAAAATCGTAAGAACTAACAGTTTAAGAAAATAGAAACCATTTAACAACCTTTTGCATCCGTCATCCTAAACCTTATGTCATTTAAAAACCTAGGAAATAAACAAACAATCGTTTTACACAATTGTGAAATAGATAACAAAAAATACGACCTTGTAATCACACCTCATACACAAACAGTTGGATACATTCGAACAAAACGACAAACACTAAAAAGAAAAATAATAACGAAACAAAGACAAATAACACGAAAAAGATTTTCAAAAAATCGAAACGCATTTTCAGAATCAGAAACCAACAGTTTAGACGAACTTTACAAACTAAAAGAATCAATAGATAAAAATTACCCACTTCACGATCAATTATATTTTTCTGACTCAGAAACAACTTCAAATTCATCAAAAAGAGGAAAAAGAAGAATAAAAAAGCAGTATAAACACAAACCAGTACATTTATACAATTGGAATCAACCAATTCGACACATTAATAATTACATATTAACAGTCATCGAACGAAAAAATGAGCTCAACGCACACCCCAGGTGAAGAAAGTCCAGATGATGATGAAATCTTTCCTTTTATAGTAGATGCAACCACTGATAGAGGACAGCATATATTTTGCAAAAATTTACTATTAAATTTATTTGAACCCGGAATCAGTCCATGTAAAACAGAGTTCCCAGATGTAAAAATCAAAAGACAAATCATAGACCACTACTTAAAAGATATATGCAACATAACACAACAGTATGGAATCTACTCCATAGAATTCACCTCACCAAACCATAATAATAGAAAATATACAATTCAAACAGACGATCTTGATTTAGAATTTTCAAAAGTTTTTTCAGAATATATAAAAAGCATCCAATATCATAACTCACAAAGAGCAAACTCCATATTCACCAATGAAGTTTTCGCAATAATATATAGTTATATTTCGATATTAGAAAACGAAATCCCAATAACAAATGTCTCACCGACAGAAACATCTAAACATTTAAGAGTACGACATGAAATCACACTACTCTCTAGTTATTTAAACATCATTAAAGAAAATTTCACGAAAGACGACGTTTCACAACATACAAAACACGATCTACAAAAAATTTTGGCATGGTTCATAATAGATTATTTCACACACAATATTGATTTAATTGCACAAGCAAGAAAAAATTTTAGACCCCAAAACTCGAACGATGATACCGCTATCACAGAACAATCAGATTATGTTTGGGACCCCGAATGGTCTCATCCCGCATTTATAAGCTTCCCACAAACAATCTCAAGTCAAGCAATAAGTACGATATCTTACATAAGAGATTATGTAAAAGTAATACCATTAACCATTGATGCAACACCATTAAACTATAATACATTTTTACCCGATACACAAAATAATAGTTTAAACTCTACAGTTATACACAATGAAAACCTCAATGGAACTAGGAATCTTACTCAACAAGATATCCAGACACCATCACACTTCATAAATGAAGAAATTGTACACACAACAACTACACAACAAAGTATTTCACCAATACGCCCAAATTTAACAACACCAAGAAATACAAATCCTTCACAAACACAGGTAACCTTACAATCAACCGTTAAACCTTCGGTTGCCCCTAAATATTCACATATGGATTACCAAACATACAGACCCATGACAATACCATCAAAAACACGCAAAACATTCACTAGAAACAACTTTACAGACCATAATTATAATTATACACATCCATCAAAAACATATAATCAACCACAAAGGAATTTTAACCAATATACAAGATCTCGAAATTGGGATAACCCAATGACCCAACCTAATTCAATAAATTTCCAAACAAATCCTCCACAGGATCACAGTGAAAATTACCCATTTTTTCAACAAAATAAAAATAAAAAACAGACATCTTATCAAATGGATTATTTATCCTCAGATGATGATTTCTTACAACCAGATATATTTGAACCAAATACTCAAGAATATCGTAGACAAGGAATACAGAAAACACGTACAAATCATAGAAATTTTTCTCCACAACCAATAGATGCACAACATCAACAACCAATTCAACAACAAAATCTAATTAATACACAATCTTTTCAACCAATTCAACAACAAAATCCAATGACTGCACACTCGTATCAAGCATCACAAATGCAAAATGAAATACCACTCCCATATTATCTCCAACAACATGAAATAACAAGAAACCAACTTTCGAATTTTTCTCAAATGCCAAATGCAGCAGAATCATTACAAATGACAATGAATCCATACCTTATGGGTGGATCATCAATAACATCAAACAAACCTTTAATGGTTTTCACAGGAACAGACCCTGAATACTCTGTAGAAGATTATTTAAATGCAGTAACAGCAAACCTGATTTTAAATATTGGACCTGAACCAATTAATACGCCACTACATCAAAATTGGATACATCGACGCACAGCGTTAATACAAACAACCTTAGATGGCGCAGCCCAAAAATGGTTTTCAGTACTACCTCTAGAAATAAAATCAAACTGGAAAAGGTTTACACAGGAATTTTCAAAAATGTTTGACTCCGAAAGAAACAAACAACAACAAAGAGTTTTATGTAATGAAATTCGCAGATTACCAAACGAAACCATCAAGCAAATAGCAGTACGAATCGAAACACTAGTTCGAAAAGCATATTCATTAAATACACATGACTATAAAAACACAAAGATGACAGAAATCTTAATGATGACCTTAACACCACAATTAAGGAAAATAGCAATAAAAAAGAGAGCATCCCATCCTTCTTCAATTCGAGAACCCGATTTAGATTTTCGAAAACTAGTAGACAAATTAGAACAAGCAGAAATCACGATGAAACTAGAAGAAACGGAAAATCTGAAATTACAATACGTTAACAGAATTGAAACGACTCCCACTAATATTAATAATATACAGGAATCAGAGACAGACCTCGTTGAAAAAATCACTGAAATACTCAATATTTACGAAAAGAACCCAAACTTTAAAGGCAAACCATCTTTCAAAAAATGGTGTAATTATTGCCGACGATACGGACATAGTATTTCCGAATGTAGACAAAAACAG